CCTCATTAAGCTACACAACACCAAGTGGATGAATATATGTTAATAGGAAAGCCAGTAAACCACGGCAAGCTGTGCTGTGTGTGCGTTACTGTGCATTTGTAGAGGGTAACGCAATCAATAAAGTTGATTTTACATGAAACAGAGGTCCATTCATGGCCTACAGTGCTGAGCGAACATTTTCCTTTCATTGTTATAACTATACATCTAAGAGTAATGTAAAGCTTCCAAGTTTTTAAAAATATAACAAGGGCATCTTTGTATTGTCTAAAGAAATATTACATGTATACCACCCAGTTTGAAGATTTAAATTTTTGAAAATAAACTACAAAGTTAAGTGGGTCGTTATAGCCTGACACTGTAAAACAAGAAAAACAAAAAACACCCAACTGCTATATCTAAAAAAATCCCTGGTGGTTTTTATTTAAACAATTTTCAGTGAATGAAAAGCTGACTTTTTTTTTTTTTTTATACATGTGGTTTTCACAGGACAGTGCACTTTCTTTACTCTTGTTCCTGCATTTCAATGTCTGAAAAGCAAATTCACATGTCTATTTTAAATAGTTAAATGTTTAAAAGCTATGTTCTTAAACATGTAAAGGCTGAGTTTTTGACATATTTCATACCTGAAAGTCTCATGAGTCTATTTGTGTGACATGCTGTTCCACATTAGAGTCACATAAAATTAATTTTGTATGCAAAAATCATTAAAAAGTGCATTTTGTAAGTGGAATTTAGAAAATCACTAATTTACTAGCTGTTCGCATTCAACACTGAACATGTCATTCACTGACCCTCTATGTACTCTTCTTTTTAGTGCATAAGTTTGGTTGTACTAATTTAACAGCCTCGTTATCTATTTAACTAAGCATAATGTGTTATCTGACGTTGCCCAAACCAAAGTTGTTTGCACTGTTCCTGTTTTTGTAGTCTTGCACTTGGCTGTACACACCAAAAGTATGCAGTGTAAACGTAACATCAGTTAAGTGTTAACATGTAGAATTAATAAAAATACAAAGACCGTCAGGCATTGCCTCTTTAACTCTGATGCCTGAGAGGTTTGGTGTGAATGTTGTAGTTCAACCATCCAGCGAGCATCTCTGCAGCAGCATACGAACACCTTAAGACTTTAAGAGGTGACTAAGACCTTCTGAATGCATCGTACAAAGTGTCACCCGACCATATCAGAAGGCAGAAGTGGTCATAGTTTTGAGCAGCAATACTCAAAATCTAGTCGGGGGTGTTAGGGAGGGGGTCTCAGACGCTGTTCAGTCATCCGACATCACTTCTGCCTATACAGATACCCTTAGGTGCAGCTGGAGCCCTGACACCGCCCACAATCTGTCAGCAAAGAACAACACACCAAACTGAAAAGGAGCTGTTGGTGTAGTTACCTTGATTGAGCTAATGGTTACATTTAGGAGACATAGAAGGACGCATCCTGGCAGGATTTATGTATTCTTCTCTAGCTCATAGTGATTTTGGCTCATGTTTTTTGGCTATGAAAATGTAGAACAACACCCTCACACCCACAGACACGCCTCACTGTGGTCCCAGGGCCCCCTCTGTCTGGTCTGAGGAGCTCTGACCCTTGGCCTTTGACCCCCTCCCAGGAGCAAAAGCTTTTTCTCCTCTTGCTCCTCTCCTCCACCTCCTCCTTGAGGACAACACTCTTTTTATTCTTTTGGCTTCTTTTCTTTCTTCTCCTCTTTCTCTCCACTCCTTTGTCTTGCTGGAGGCTGGAGCTGAGCATGGATTTAATGCCTTCACAGCTGAGGAAACCTCAACAGCTTCAGTTTTTACGTTCAAGCTTCAGACATTTTCAAGCTCCATTGACAATGTGTTTCCATCTTTGCATATCAACAATGAGTCAGGGATGAGAGTCTAAGAGCAGATTTGTTTCTTGTTTCACTGGTCACAGATGACTTTTTAATTAAACATTTTGACAAAGACTCACACCCTCCTGAATCTGATCGTTTTTGTGGTCTTTTAAACATACATGTACAGTAAACAAAAAATACAATTCAATCAAGTGGGGATAAATCCTTTTTTAAGGAGACTTCACATGCTACTAGTTTTCCCGATACTAATGATTTTTATTAAGTGCAAAAGGATTTTAGTTCATTTTAGTATAATCATTTTTTTGGGTTGGTACCCCATTTGATAAAAAGCATGACATTCAGAGCTGAAGAAGATAACGGATACGTGACCAAGCGCACAAGCAAATGTGAAGCACGTTGTTTTGTTGTCCATCCGCCCGCCCATCCATCTTCTTTGCCCGCCCATTCCTAACCTGTTGCCATGGTTTCCGGCAATGGCGTAGGTTGTGGGTTAGCAGGTGGCAACGGTAGGGGTCAGAGAAGTTCAGTAATGGTGGCTTGATGGGGGTTGGGATATTTGTGTGGATGGTTTGGAATGGCGTCGAAGAGGATAATGGGGAGATAATGTGTTGATAAGGTGGAAGTTTGCTTTGGTGCGTTGGGGGACCTTTTGGTGTGTACGGTGGTAGTTTTGCGTACGAGGTGCAGAGAATTGGTCTGTTTTTATGTGTGTTTAGAAGGTTTAGGGTGGAGTTAGCAATATAGCTGCCGGTCAAGCATTGATCGAGGATCAAAGGGCTTTTCCTTTATTTTTTTGGGGGGGGATGGGGGATGTCAGGTATTCTAGATACACAAAAGACTATTCATCTGTGCGGGAGCCTCCTGGGGGTTTGGGTGGGGTTTAGTGTGGTAGAGAGAGATGGGGGGTTGGTTGTTTAAAGCCATTGATGCTCAGTTGGGTGAGGTGCGTGGTTTTTAAAGATGGTAATGGGTGGTAACGATCTAGAGTGGTTTCCAATGAGGGCCACAGCAGAATACGTCAGCGCCGTCTTCAATACAAGCAGCTTCATTAAGGGTGAAAGGTGCAGCACTAATGCAACAGATGGAAACGTAGGCCTGTGTAAGGAAGGATATTAAGAACCATCTTAAGTATAATTCATAATAATTGAGCACCGACTCTGTCCCAAAAAGGACATGTTGGATTTTAAATTGGACTTGAGCCATGCTTAAATGAAAAGAAGATTGTTAAAGACAGATTTAAAAAAAGAAAAAAAAAAGTAAAACATTGAATTAAACAGCAATGACAAACCCATTATTGATCAAATCCCTCCCTCCTGTTGTTATGGCTAAGAATGACAGTTCTCAAGAGATCACAAAAATCGAAACTAAAGATGGTCACAGGGGAAGTGTTTTGTGCTTCCATGTAATAAAAGGAAGTAAGTTAAAGGTGAAATGCGCTTGAGAGAACAGTTGCAGCAATAACAACAAATATCTATATCCATATGTGAACATAAAAACTGGATCAAAATAGACTATCTATGCCTTACATCATGTAGGCTATTCGTCAAGATGCTGCTTCCCTACTTGCTTTTGATTCAGTCGTTTTTTTTCAAACAAGTCAAGACCTTTGTTGTTTGACTTGGACGAATGCGACTGGGCGATGAGGACGTAGACATTTAAACATGCAGGAAAAACTACAGACGAAACAGAAATATTTTGTTACTCACATCAGAATCCATCCAGCAGCCAAAAACGAGACATTTCTAGCAGTTTATCTGGGTTCAGAAAGATAGTGGTACAGATGGTGGAGTAATATCAGCACCTCATGGGCAACACGTCAGGGTGATAAAGGACATATCTCTATGAGAATGACACAGAATCCCCAACTGGCTTGCTCATGCTCGATGTGCTCACAGATGGAGAAAATGCAAAAATGCTTGTGTCCAAAATAGTATTTGGACCTAAAGTTGAGCCTTAAAATCCCAGGAGAGCAGCAAAAACTGAGACACTGATGAACAAAACAACTTTGTTCGCACGACCAGGAAGAAGTGTGTGTTTATTAGCAGGAAACTTGTTTAAATTCCAGTAGATACCTGTGTCAGTGCAGTTTAGAAAGTTCTTATCTGTGGTGTCTTCATTTGACATGAATTGTGATTTAATTGATGAAATTTGAGAGTTTCAGTCGATACCTGTTGCATGCACTGGACACGTCAGACAGAAGTAACTAAGGTGTTGTGGCCACGGATGTGCCTATTTCAGAGCGAATGTGATAAGATTGCTGCTGTTTTATAGAAGTGATGTGCAACAAAGCTGGGAATTAGGTCAGTGTCTTATCAGCTAATGATGCGTTCACACGGACAAACATGTAATGTTGCATGACGAGACACTGAAGATGTGAGCTGTGATCCAGTTCAAACAAAGATGGTGTCTGTTTTCTGACACCTTTTCAACTCTGAAACTTGGGAGACTGCTTTGAACAACTAGAGTGATTGCGCAGCTTATCACACAAACTAATTTTCTCAAGCCTTCGCCCCTTTTCACACTGAAACATGCACCTACAGGACAGAATGACCTGTTGTTTTTTTTTCCTGTCAGTGTGAATAGACACAGGATACCCATCCAGAACTCTAAGGTTAGGGTTACTGAAAAGACAAAGGCACTCATACATGACAGTGGCTTTTAGTTTGAAAGTAAGGAAGTTTAGTGTTAACTTTTAATAATGGCAACACACAAAAACATGTGTGACACTGCCACCAATATGTTGCGGTGTTCTAGCAGTGATGTGTAATAGAGCTGTAACCAGTGACAACCAGGTCAAAAGTGGTTGGACTCATGTTCTGAGTCCTGGGTTTGTGTGTAAGCGTTATAAACCTCTGTAGTTGAACCAGTCAGAACTGATGGATGGAGTGTTGGTACACGGTTTTGGTTTAGTGTTCGTATCACTCTCTTCCTCTCGCCACCTGTTTGTCTCTCAAGACACGTCCTAGCTTCATTCAGTGGCCTCTTCTTCCTTTCACTCTCTCTCATCCCTGAGTTTCAACACACACACACACACACACTCATACAGAACACAGTAATTCTCGTGTTTGTTTGTTTTTTTTTAAAACTACAAGCTTTATTTCATTCTCTCAAAAGTGTAAAACATTTTCAAAATGTGTTCATATCTCCTTCTTCTCTCCACAGGACCAGGAAACTGCAAATCAGAAACATTCCACCTCACCTGCAGTGGGAGGTTAGTTCCTATTCCCTCTATTCCTTTTCTTGTTGGGATCATTTACACTGTCTCATATTGTGTCTTCACATCGCATGCAAACCACATGACATTACTGCCACCCACAACACCTTCTGTTAGCAGTTTGTGAAATTCGTTGCTAGGATTTTTGTTTGCTTTTGGCAAATTGTTAAAGCTGAACAAAAAAAGCACTCCCCTCTCCACTGTCCACATCTAGCCAGTCACAGGTTGTGATATAAATCCGTGTCATACAAAGCGTTACAAGTTCAACTTCCAATGAGGGAGCAATGTTAGTTTTATGTGTAAGTGTAAGATCCTATTCTTGTACCTTTCTTGCATAGCCATTTTGTAATTGGTTCCTACTGTTTTTCCTAAAAATATGGCATTTCACAGCCTGTTCGTTTATATTTTCCCTTTTTGGGTGTCCATCCAGCCCAAACCTTTCTATCAAAACAAAACAACAGAAAGCGCTCAGTTTTATTGCCATCATCACCACTTTTGGAACAGGATGTGTCCAGCCGTGTGGCTTTTTCAGTGTGTTTCTAAGCTGATCATGTACAAATACAAGCACCTTCTAAAAACTGTCAGGTGAAAAGAAGAACTTTTACCATGTATGGTGTATGTTTACCTTTGCAAATTCAGTGAAGCGCTTCTTCCACCAGTGCTGACATTTTGATAGTAAATGTCACCTCTCAGAGAAGAAAGGAGGATTACTGTGTTCTAAAGTTTTGTTTTTTAAGAATAGTAACTATTTTTATTTTGGCTGCACTTTTGCTAAGTTCTGATGCAAGCATTAAGGACGAGAGTCATTTCTGACTGCAGCAATTCCCAGAAATGTGTATTTTTGTTTTAGTTTTAGTTTTGCTTCGCTTATCACATCTGTTGAAATCAGGAAACCCTGAGCAGCCTCAATCCGTGTATATGCATTAATTAGAAAAGAGGGTGATACGAATGTTATAATACAGACTTCTCAAGATGGTCAAGAACACAACAGATGAACTTAGACATCAGAGGTCAAAGTCATGTTTTTGTTCTGCAATATTCTGTCACTAATGAGAGTTTTACAAGAGGGCAAAGATGCAAACTCTGAGTTAAGCAGTGTTTCACTTGTTAAAGACGAAGCTTTTAATTGACTCATCTGGATGCCTCAAACTGACTCAGATGTCCCACATACCGGGAAGTTTGGATGTTAAAGCTTGTAACTCCACCCAAGCTGGCCTCACTGCAAATATTTGCATCACTTGAGGCATGTGTTTGTGTGTGTGTGTGGTGGGGTGTTTATGGGTCATATTTGCCTTTACCTCAGTGGTGAATCAGGGACTGAGAACCAAAAATCTGGGTGTGGATGTATCTGATGCCTCAAACAAAAAAAAAAATATCTTTTTTTGTGGTAAAGATTGCTTTCAGTCGAAGCTGCAGGTTGCAATGCCACTGACAGATTATTCTAATGACAGCTTAGCGATTAGAATCGAACATTAACTAAGAGTCATGTATTGATCAGCATATGAGCTAACTGTTGTAAGCTCTAACCTATTGATTGTCAGCCGCTAATTGCTGCAGTTATGTTGTCACTTCATCTGGATCTTTAATAGCAACTATTGTAGCATTCAAAAAAAGGGACAAGACTCTGCCTGGATACCCGCAGTGAGCACAAGGCGCTGATCACTCAGTTCATACGGAGTTCAAACTGCACAACACGCTTTCATGCAAATGCAGTTTGAAGAGCTGCAACTTGATGAAACCGTAATGCACAAGAGATACTGAGATTCATAGTTCAGATGAAGTAGTTTAGCTCAGTCAGTCAAATCAATCAATTAATCAGTGAACTAGCTGTTCTGAAGCTTGTCATAGCATCACAAGATGTTCCTCTGCAAATTTAGATTTTAACTCCAAACAACAAAAAAAAAGTCATTTTTGAGCCAACATAGATGAGAAGACTTTGAGAAATTGGACAATGTTGAAAATTTCATGACAACTGGTCAAACTGCTGTGTACAGTGTGCCCTAATCTTACACTTTCTTTACCCAGAAATATAAAGTTCCTATATTAATGAACATAAATTAGTAACTTAACATGTGAGTAATCAGCTGTTACAGCTGATATATTTGTGTGTTTATACACAATATAGTCACATAAACCTTTAGCATCAGAAAACATTCTTAGGTTATTGTCATAAACTAGTTTTCCTGCCTCCCAAAATTAAGCCCCCCATGCAAATAAACTGCATTCTCAATTGATTTGATGGAAACTTCCAGATTATGTTTCACTGTGTGAAATTGTGTATCACAAATATGTCTTTAATCCACAACCCCAGTTTACTGGATGAAAGTCTTCTTTTGTGTGGAAACGGTTCATTCTACATCATACTGTTAACTTACCATTAGAGAATATGATTCTTTCAAAACATGACTGAGAATGCATTTTGCTTTTACAGACACATCATAATGACGTTTTTGGCAGACAGGGTCATGGGTATAATTAACTAGTGTGAAACTAAAAAAGACAAACTGTAGTTGTAAAACAGACATTTATATATGCAGACCAGTTTTAGATACTTCAGATGTATAGATTCATATACATCCTGCAGCACCATCAGGGCGGGGCCTAATTGGCTCCAATTCGTTCTGCAGCGTGACAAATAGCACAAACGTGCAGTCAGAAAGACCCGGCAGTCCAAAAACCAGAAAACATTCACATTTGAGATGCTGGAGACAGAGGTTTATTTCTGTAAGGAAATAAAACAGAAACTTTCAAAAATGAAAATTAATTTTCTGTTGCTCACCTCCTCAATTAATTGACTATTTTATTAAATGATTAACTGTAATCATTGCCATCTAGATAGCAAGCTATTACAGAGATTTAGTGAAGTAAATTCAATCACAAATTTCAATTTAGTCCTGTCTGGCCCAGGTAGATAATAATTGGATTATTATGTACTATATGATGATGGTTTCTGAATAGGGTTAGAGGTCACTGAGAAGACACGGAAAGCACCCTGAAAATACTACAATATTATTTTTCTCAATCCCTCCAAAAATAATCCTAATTTTAGAGGAATGCAGAATGTTATGAACAGATGAAACAGTATGAAGAGAATCATTCAGGATGAATGTGTTTAGAACAGCAGGGTTTTTTTTATTTATTATTTTGTTCTGGCACGTTTTTCATATTCTATTTACCTCACTTTAATCTGTTGATTCATCAAACAATATTGAATGCATAGGATGGGAATGCAGGAGGATCAATAGGTTTCATTCAGCCGGTGTGTCGCTGTGTGAATGTCTGTGCACCATCATTGTTTAGCGAGGGTGTGGCACATCGCCTGCCTCCTCTGGCAAGCAAGTGCCTGTGGGAGTGGCTCTGTGTGTGTCATCTGAATATGTGCCATGTTCTCCGGCTCCCCGCCGCTCTGATCCTCCTGTTTGTGTCCACACGAGGGCGACGTCTCTCCGCAAAACTGAATGAAACGTTTAATTTATAGGCTTCCCACATAGACGAGTGTACTGTATGACTCTATGTGACTCCTAATGATCACGAGGGTCAATTAGGTATCCAGAAGATAAAGGAGCACATTGTAGACGTTCTCTGCTTATAAGTAGAAGCTTTTTGGATGAAGCAGAAGAGGCAACATTTACAATATGACTCAGAAAAAAGCAATAAAAAAAAAAGTAACTGTAAGATGCAAAACAAAAA